ATCTACATAGATGCAAAATTCTCAATAAGATTCTAGCAAACTGGATCCAACAACATTTCTCAAAAAATCATCCACCATGACCAAGTAGGCTTCATCCCCTTCAACATCTGTAAGACCATAAATGTAATTAAATACATGAACAGATGTAAAAAACAAGAACTACATAATTATATCATTAGATGCAGAAAAAGCTTTTGATGAAATCCAGCATCCCTTCAATAAAACCCTCAATCACTTAGGTAAAGAAGGAACATACCTCAAAATAGTGAGCACCATCTGTGATAAACAAAATTTCCCAAAAACCCACAAAGACGTGGACACTAAATAGCATTGTGCTGAACAACTACTGGGTCAACACCAAAATCAAAACAGAAATTAAAAGACAAAAACTGGAAACATTCCCCCTGAAGACTGGAACAAGACAAGTTTCCCCATTTTTACTGCTTTTGTTCAACATTGTGTTGGATGTCCTAGCTAGAGCAATTAGACAAGAGAAGGAAATCAGGGGTATCCAAATAGGAAAAGAGGAAGTGAAGTTATTCTTCTTTGCCAATGACATCATCCTATACTTCAAAAATCCAAGAGAATCTGTCAAAAACCTGCTTGCACTGATAAAGGACTTTGGCAAAGTCTCAGGGTACAAAATAAATGTGCAAAGTACAGTCACATTCTTATACACCAACAACAAACAGGACAGAACCAAATAAAAAGCACAATTCCATTCACAATAGCCACAAAAACAAAACAAAACAAAACAAAAACAGATATACCTTGGCATCTTCTTAACCAGAGAAGTGAAAACACCTTTACAATGAAAACTACCAAACACTGCTCAAAGAAATCTAAGAACACACAAAGTGGGAAATATTCCATGCTCATGGATAGAAAGAATCAACATTGTTAAGGTATCCATCCTACCCAAGGCAATCTACAGATTCAACGCAATATCCATTAAATTACCAACTTCATTCTTCTCAGACCTGGAAATGACAATACAGAAATTCATATGGAAACATAAATGACCACAAATAGACAAATAATCCTTAGCAAACGAAACAAAGCAGAAGGTATCACACTTCCAGACTTCAAACTTTACTATAAGGCTACAGTAATAAAAAAAAATCCTGCTATTTGTACAAGAACAGGCATACGGACTAATGGAATAGCATAGTTTCTGGAAGCAGAACCTCAATTTCTCAACCAACTAATCTTTGAAAATGCCTCCAACAACAACCACCGGGGAGAGGAGAACCTATTCAGTAAATGGTGCTGAGGAAACTGGTTTATCATGTACAGAAGATTGAAACAGGATCCCTACCTATCACCATACACAAAAATCAACTCTAAATGGATCAAAGACCTAAACATAAAACCTCAAACTATAACAACCTTAGAAAATACAGGAGACACCCTTATGGAAATTGGAACTGGCAACCAATTACTGATCAAAACCCCAAGTGCCCGTGCCATAAGAGATAAGACAGACAAGTGGGACCTCATCAAATTGAAAAGTATCTGCAAAGCAAAAGAAATCATCAAGAGAATGGGGAGACAGGCCATAGAATGGGAAAAAATATTTGCCAACTGTATATCTGACAAACACCTAACATCTAGTATCAACAAGGAACTCAAATGTGCCGAAAGGAGAAAAACAAACAGCCCCATTAAAAAGTGGGCAAAAGACATGAATAGACACTTCTCAAAAGAAGCTATACGGGCAGCCAACAGACATATGAAAAATTACTCAGTCTCACTAATTTTCAGAGAAATGCAAATGAAAACCAGATTGAGATACCACTTAACCCCAGTAAGGATGGCCATCATTAATAAAACAAACAACAGCAGATACTGGCGAGGACGCAGAGAAAAAGGAACACTTCTACACTGCTGGTGGGAATGCAAACTAGTGCAACCTCTGTGGAAAACAGTGTGGCAATTCTGAAGGTACTTGAAATTTACCTTTCATATGACCCACCAATTCCCCTATTGGGAATATACCGGAGGAATTCAGATCATTCTACCAAAAAGATACCTGCACATGCATGTTTATAACAGCACTATTCACAATACCAAAAACATAGAACCAACTATGCTGCCAATCGAAACCAGACTGGATTAAAAAAATTTGATACATAGACACAAATGAATATTACGCAGTCATAAAGAAGGACAAACATGTTGACTTTGCAGCACCTTGGATGGATTTAGAGTAAATAATACTCAGTGATCTATCACAGAAATAAAGAACAAAGTACCACATATTCTCACTTATAATCAGCCCTTGAACAATTATCATAATATATAAGAAAGGGATAGGCAGTTGTGGGAAACTGTCAGGGGAGGTGGGGTGGGACTGGCATCTTTGGGAAACTGCCAGGTAAAGTGGGGGGACACCACATCTTTAAAATAAAATTTTTTTAAATGAATTCTAATATACAAAGATTTTGAGAGAATCAACAAAACCCAAAGTTGGTTTTTTGGCAAGTTCAGAAAATTTGATAAAACTCTAGACTGACCAAGAAAAAAGAGAGAAAACTCAAATTACTAAAATCAGAAATTTAAGAGGGAGTATATCTATTAACCTTCAAAAATAAAAATGATTATAATAGAATACTATAAAACATTTTATGCCAAATAATCACATAAATAACATGAAATGGATAAATTCTTAAAATGACAAATGTGTCAAAACTGTTTCAAAATGAAATATATAATCTGAATATATCTATAACAAGTAAAGAAATTGAAAAAATAATCAAAAACCATCCCACAAAGATGCGTCAAAACCAAATTGCTTTACTGGTGAACTCTACTAGATATAAAAGGTTAATGAACAAAATTCTTTCACAAAATCTTCCAAAAAATATAGAAGTATACATTTACCAACATATTCTAAGAGACAGTCTCAATGTGGTACCAAATCCTGACAGTGACATCATAAGAACTGAAAAGTATATACTGATATCTTTTGCAAATACAAACACAAAAATTCCTAACAAAATGGTTGCTGAAACTAGCAACATGTAGGAAGGATTATGTACCATGACAAAGTAGGATTTATCTAGGAAGGCAAGGCTGGTTTAGCATGAAAATATCATTAAATGTAATATGCATCATATTAATATAATAAAGAACAAAAACCTCCTGACATTCTCAATGAATGTGGAAAAGTTCTTTTTCATAATCCTATACCTTTTTATAATAAGAACTCTCAGCAAACTAACAATAAAGGGAAATTTCCTCATTCTGATAAAAAGTACCTATGAAAACTGGCATTCTACTTGATGAAAAATAGATTAGTACTCATTAATGTCAGGAAGACCAGTATGTTTGCTGTCACAGTCCTATCATTTTTTTAAAAATTGCATATGATGTTCTAGCCAAAGTAGTTAGGCAAGAAAAAGAAATAAGTGTTTCCAGACTAGAAAGGAAGAAGTTAAACATTCTTCTTACTCAGGGTAGGATGGTTTTTAGTGAATAAGTTCTCCCTAAATTGCTTTGGTTAATTTTCAGAGTTTTGGGAAGGCTGATTTGACATTTTTGTCAGTTATCTCATTGCATTTATGGAAGAGGAAGTTTTCAGAGGTTCTTGTTCAGCATTTTCACTCATGTCTTTACAAGGACATAATCACAGAATGTTGGTCTTTTATTTCACATTTTTTTATGATCTTACTTTTTCTTCAATTTTGTTTAAGGGTCTTTCACCACACATTTCTATAAAATGTGCTGCCAAACACATCAAATGAGTCCTTGGTTTACATGGCAAGGTGACACTCTCCTTTAGACCAAGATCATACAAATGAACTCATACTGATTAATCAATTAATTTGTACTTTTTGTGTATGCATTTAGATTTTTATTTATCTAAAAGTTTATTTTTATATGATGTGATGTGTTAGCTGTGAAATAGAACACTATGTATTTTTTTAAACATAGACTCCATGCTATTTTAGTTAATTAAATGATTTTTCTCTCACTGAATTCAGATATCATTTTTAAAAATACTAATTCAGATGTATTTCTGGCCTCAGTTATTTTCTCTGATCTTTATTTACTACAATGACAAAAATAAAGATTGCTTCAATATAGTGGTGGTATAGGATGTTTTAAGATCTGATTGCAAGTTCCAATATTAATTTTGTTTTTCAGACACCCCTTGGCAAGTCTCAAACACATTTTTATATAAAATTTATTTTATGTGGTTCAAAAGAAAACACTCAATTTTACTAACTTTTTACATTAATTTTGGACAAATAGACATTACATTTTATTAAACCTTTCCATAACATAGCTCATTTTTCATGTGAATCTTGTTTTAGGCTCTCTAATAAGATTTATGTTGACTTTCTTTGTTCTCTCTTTTTTGTCAAATTTATTTAATGTTTTATATTTCTGAAAATCTTTTAGTATTATTTTTACATATTTAAAACACATTACTCTTAGAGACAAAAGCTATTAATTTCATTATCTTTATATCTAACCCATTTTATAAAAATCATTTACTCTAGTTTTAAATAGAATCTTCTATTTTTCTAGATATTGATCATATGATCTGAAGTTGAAGATATATATATCTTCATCTTCAATATTATAATAGCAATATTTGGTTTTATTATCTAATTGTGTTTTGCTATGCTTTCATAAAACACGATTAATAATAATAGTGATAAAAGGTAATATGGTCCTATTCTTGAGTCCAATGGGCATGCCGTCCAGCATATCATAATTTATTTTGTTATTTGCTGTTCGTTATATCATATCTGAGTACTTTTTTCTTACACTAGTTTTAACAATTATGGAAACTAGACAATGAATTTATTAAATCACTATTGTGTTGTCATATTCATGTTATTTTCTCCTTTAATTTGTTGAGATGATGATTTACTTACAATTTTTAATGTTTTCAACTTTTACATAACTATAACACATTCTATTTTATCATAGTCTATTTCTTACTTTATATAAGAATGAAAGCCTCATTATTTACTTTTTTTTTTTAGCTAGATGGTGTGAAAGCAATGTATGATCAACTAACCTGGAGGCAAAAAAGTTATAAAGAGCAATATCTGGAGACACTTAATAGTTTTTATGCTGCAGTAAGTTGGCCTTTCCCTACTTCTCACTAGCGTGGCATTTTCTATTCCCAAATAGTCACTCATTAACTAGAAGTAGTTTTATTATTTTTTATGCTTTCTTTTAATAATTTAACATTTATACAAAATTTTTTAATTCTTTTCTTAAAGGAAAAATCATGGAATATTGAACTTTCTAATGTCACAAAAGATTTTACAGAACTTTCAATAGCACTTGAGCAACTGATGGAAGAAAATAGAAAACTGGGGATTGACCTTGACAGCATAAAACATCAAATCAAAGAAAGGTATTCTGCCAATAATTTTTTTCTTAAATGGCATATCCAATATGTTAAATTTAATCTTTCAAATGTGTGGCTCCAGGGTGATATTATTGTGTTTTTGTTTATCATCAGTTTAAATTTTGTTTAGTTCTATTCAAAATGTTGGTTTTTAATCATGCTAGATTCCTTTGATAAATCAAAATAATTTTAGGGGGGGCTGGATTCTCACTCTGCCATCCAGGCTGGAGTGCAGTGGCACACTCCCGGGCACCCCAGCATCATCCTGCTGGACTCTGGCGATCTTTTCACCTCAGCCTTCCAAGTAGCCAGAACTACAGGTGCACACTACCATGCCTAGCTAATTTTTGTTTTAGTGTAGAGACGAGGTCTCGCCAAATTGCCCGAGCTGGTCTCGAACCCGTGGGCTCAGTCAATCCACTTGCCTTGGCCTCCCAAAGTGCTGGGATTACAGGATGAGCCACCGAGCCCAGTCCAAAATAATTTTTAAAAGATCTCATAAGGACATTTACACACCATCATCTCTCCTCCTTTTGACATATTCTCTTACACTAAAAAAATACTTTAAACTTAAAACATAGTAGCCCCCGCATCCATAGGGGACACGTTGTAAGACCCCCTAGTGAATGCCTGAAACCACACAGAGAGTACCAAACCCTATGTATACTATGTTTTTTTCTATTTGATTACCAAGTCAGCTAGCATATATAGCTTGGATATCCGGGACAAAGGGTAATTCACATCTTGGGCAGGATAGTATGAGGTTTCATCATGCTACCAAAAACAAGTTCCAGTTTAAAACTCATTAATTATGTATTTCTGGAATTTGCCATTTAATCTTTTCAGATTACAGTTGACCAAAGGTAACTAAATATTCAGAAAGCAAAACTGCAGATATGAAGAGACTACTGTATGTTTAACCAAGTTTTCTCTCGTTCAGTCAACCCTCATTTCTTCCCTGCAATGACAATACTAGTTTTCTTGGTTCAGAAACCTGAGTTTTCTTAACTCCCCTTTCTATTTCAACACTCACATCCAACATATCAACAAAAAATCTTCCACATACTAAATATATGTTTAATCAATTTGCATCATTACTCCACCAGCAATCCATTATAGTACAAGCTCTCATCATGTCTGGTATGAACTCACAGTGACTTACAAAACTTCTACATGCAATCACTATGCTCCATTTCTAATCCATTATCTACATTTTTGTAGGCATGTTCTTCTTCTAAACATAGGCATGATAAATTACTTCCATTTCTGTATTAATTTAAGCAGGGGTGAAGGGACTAATGCCCCCCTTAATGTATCTTGCAAGGTCCCTTCGATAGGCATATCTGCTTCTGCAGTCTCATAGTGTTCCTGGCTCAGCCTTATTATTTGTTTCAAATATAGTGGCTTTACTTCAATTTTTCCCACTTGCTACTCTTTTCTCCAACCCACACATATGCTACTTTTTTCTTCTAGAATGTTGTTACTTTTCCCTTCTACTTAATTGCCACTTATCCTGAAGAGTACCACTTATGAGTCAGTCAGTTCTGGGAAGCCTCATTGAGCATCTCATAGTGCATATCTTCCTCTTCTTTATACCTCTTGGCATATTGACAATTTTTTTCTGTGTGAACAGTTGACTGATGTCTGTCTCCTCAAAAAATGAAATCCAAGAGGGCAGACACACAGGCCATGACAACTTTTTCCTCAATATTAAACCCTTATCATCTAGTAGAGTGTTTGAACATACTTTGCTATTGAGAAGCAGGTGACCATGATACTTGATGATTGCACAGAATGTGTTAATTTCTTAGTGATTATTTTCCATCTGGGAATGACAGAATGGAACCATTTGTAAAACTTATCTGTATGCTAAACATAGTTAACTTTAGAATGCATAAAAACGTTTTTAAATGAATAACCTAAATCTTTTAGTTGCTAGCATTACTAAAGTTTTTCATCTTATTTTATTAAGAAAGAGAACAAGAGGAGCAAAAACAACCACCGGAAAAGTGGGTTAGTTAGTGAGGCGATTTCTCTGGAGGAAAGGAAGAGTATGTTAGCATTTATTAGATTCTGTTCCAGTAACAAGCAACCCACAAATCTTAGTGTCTTACAATGTAATTGTTTATTTCTTACTCTCACTGCAATTTAACTGTGTTTAATGTGTCTATGATTCGTGTTCTTTATTCTGAGATTCAGAGTAAAGAACTGGATCTTTCTGGGCACATTGTTCTGGTATTATGGGGAAAAGTGCAGTAGTGAGATCACTCAATGATTCTTGCAACTTTCACAGGAAAGTGATAGATGCTACTTTTCTTTGAGCAAAGCAAGTCACATAGCCAAGTCTGATGTCGATGGGTTGCAGGTCCTAATTCTCTTAAGAAGTGAGTGAATAATTGGGAACACTAACAAATCTCCCACAGAGGGAATGTAGTCCTAGTTATAGGGAAGATTTCCACATATGCTTCTTGCTTGCCCAGATAACACCTTAAGATAACAATTATTTGCTTTTTCCCCAAATTTTTTCTTGAAGTCAAAAATTAAATGGATAATTTTAAACTGCAGATGCTGTTTTTGCATAGTGCTGAATACAGAATTAGTAAAGGATCAGTACAGTTAAATGAAAGAGATTTTAAGAGATGTGCACATCTTCCACATAGCTTAGTCATGTTTCAAAGAAAGAAAAGATAAAACACAGGATAGAGTCTATTTTTGAGGAAAGAATTAGCTGTTTATATATCAAAAATAGCTATTTTATTATTGTTTTTAACTGGCAAATATATATTTAAATATATAATGCACAATATATGCAAAATAACTGTCTATTCTAATTATTGCATCTATCAACTGTCAAGTCTATAGAGAGTATATATTACATTACAATATATGCAAATGTAATTATTTATTTCCCAAAGTTTATTAGCTTTTCTTGAAAATCTTCTAAGTCACTTTATGATTCCCTGTTTGATTCAGATATGTAAAGCTTGCCTTTTATCTCTCAAACAGAATATGAATAGTACTTTATAATCTGCACCTAATAATGTAAATATCTGTAGGCTTTCATAATTTGCTTCTGCATCTTATTCTTCCAGCTCATTGCTTTGGTGCCTTTTTTCTTGTGTTTGGCTATTTTTACTGTGGATAGTCCATTTTCTTCCAAAACTATTTGCAGAAATTTGTTGAGTCCTAGCTGAAGTTGAGTTAATCTTTTGCAACCTTATGTTTGCTGGAAGGGTGCATTTTTCAACCCCCCTGGACACGCTCTACACTCTGTTTTTGTTTCCTACGCTGTGATTAACAAAGCTCCACTTTACCAAAATGTCCGGTGCCTTCACAGCAGTCATGCTTTCTTTGATCTGTTTGGCATTCTGACTGTAATGCACATTTGTTGCATGAAATTTGGAAAGTACACAAAGAGATTTAAACCCTAAAATCATTTCAATTTGTAAAAATATTACTGTTGATATAATATTGATTTTTTTTATTCTTAAGGAATAATTGTGAATTCTGATTTTATTCCCAGTGAAATATAATAGAATTTTTTTCACATTGGTAAACACATTTTAAATACATCACTTAAATATCTATATAAAAGTCTATTCTGTGGAAGAACTATGATTTATGTATAATTACTCTTACTTAGATTGTATTTTTACTACTTATGGTGGTAAATTATTTTGTTCAGAAATCTTTCTCAGCCTCATGGTTTTTTAAAATTTAAAATAGCCTTGTAGAGTTGGATTGGGTACAACACTTTAAAAATATATTTCTAAAACTACTTTCCAGAAAGACCATCTCATTTATGAGGCTGTGTGGTACTTAAGCCTGTCTTTCCATGCACCTGTGCTAAGATGGAGAGCTATAGTTCTTTAAAAATCTCTTCCAATATGATAATATTTATATATATTCTCAATGTGGCTTTGACTTTCATTTCTTTGATTATTAGGGAGGTTGAATATTTACACATTCTTTTTTGAATTCTACTTTTTCTAAAGAATTCTTGTATGTTTTCAAGGAAGAAATGAATATGTGAGGTTAAAAGGTGCCAAGTGGCTTTCCTAAAGTCCTACAGGCAAGCACCGCTGAAATTTGCAACCTGACCTTCTATATTCAGGATCAGAATTTTTACATTATCTAACTTTTTTTTGCAATTTAATCGGTCTTCAATTAAACTGACATTTAGTGAATGTTCAAATATGCTTAATATAATGCGGTAATAACAAATACAAATAGTAGACCTAATGTTAAAATTGTCATTATCTTAGGACACAGACAAGGGCACAGGTGGTGGTGGGTTCACAGAGTAACACCTCTAGTGTGACTGGAACTTAGAGAAAGTGCATGATCTTACCTGTGTGTTTGTATCAATGTGTGTGTATATGTGTGTGTATGCATGTAGTATGTGGTCTTATGTGGCCAGTATGCAGGCAGGAAAAACATTGAGGCTAGGAAATGACAGTATAAGATAAGGCATTATTTTAAGGCATTTGGGCACAGTTGAAAACTGTAGAAGTCCACTAAAGAAGCCGTATGGTCAGAGTTCTCTTTTAAAGATATCATTTTAGTGACATTTGAATGAGTTAACATTTGGATAACTGGCTTGATGGTAGTACCAGACATGAAATTAAAAAATGTATAGATAAAAAAAAAAAAAAGAAAGAAAGAAAGAAAGAAAGAAAGAAAGAAAGAAAGAAAGAAAGAAAGAAAGAAAGAAAGAAAGAAAAAAATTGTAGGAAAAATGTTGATATCTTTGGAAATTGTGGATGGCATGATACAAGTATAAGGGTCTGGCTATCACTTTTTTTTTTTTTTTAAAGCAAGGTCTTTCACTGTTACTTGGGCTGCAATGTGTTGGCATGATCATAGCTCACTGCAGCCTTCAGTTCTTGTGCTCAAGTGATCCTACAGCCCAAACCTCCCAAATAGCTAGGACTACAGAAGTGTACCACCACACCCAACAATTTTTTTTTTAATTGGTAGAAAAGATGTCTCTCTCTTTGGTCAGG